CAACAAATTTTAACTCTGGTGCATTGTCTGATCTGAACATCTTTATCCCTTTGTGAAATTGAGTTTCAATCATTTTAAAAAATTTGGGAATGATGCTACTGACTTTTGACTTGTGTTTCATGAGATATACCCATGTGAAACGAGTACTGTCATTTACTAAAGTAAGGAAGTATCTGTGTCCAGAATGTGATGCAACATGGTATGGTCCCCATGTATCACAGTGTACTAAATCAAAGGCATTTGCAGAAAAATGGTTGTTGGAGACAAATGATAGCCTTCTTTGCTTTGCCAATGGACAAACATTAGAAGGGATTGAATTATGATCCTTACTTTGATCAAACTTTAAACCCAAAGAGTCTTTCAAAGGTGCTAATTTTTTAAAAGACAAATGTCCTAATCTATGATGCCAAGTATTGGCATTCACTTTATTTACAACTGAGGAAACAGAAACACAAACTTTATCAATCGAAAGATTTCTACTGTGAGTTGGAAATGAATCCAATGCTGTTGCACTAATGATGTAAAGACCAGCACTTCTCCTACCCTTGCCAATCATCTTCTGGTTGTGTGTATCCTGGATATCACACTCATTAGCAAAAAATCTGACAATAATATTCGAATCCTTGATCAATGAACTTACAGACATCAGATTGAATTTAAAGTTTGGCACATATAGTACATCTTCAAGCATCAGATTATTGCTAAACTTTACAATCCCAACAAAACTCACAGGTATCCTCTTATGATTTGGTAAGGTAACATACGCATTCTCAATCAATTTCATAGAGTAAAAGGCAGACTTACTGAAGCATATATGGCTAGTTGCCCCAGAATCCATAACCCAGTGCTTAGGAGAATTTAGACATGGGTTAAGTACAATAGAAAAACAAGTACCTGAGACTTGATTAGTATGTTCATCATTTCTAGTGTTGGTTTTTGCAGAAGTCAGATGGTTGCCCAGCATGTTCATCAATTGTTGATATTGGGTATGGTTCAAGGAATGCATGAAATCTTCTGCATTTGTGTGTGCTTGTTCTGACTTGTTCGCAAATACCACTTGATTAGCAGCAATATGTCGTGGCTGATTGTCCACTTGATCAGTAAAGTTGGATCTCTGCTTCATCTTATACCCAGGAGGATACCCATGCAGTTTATAGCATTTATCCACCGAGTGCCCTACAAGTTTGCAATAAGTGCAAATTGGTTTTTCTTTCTTCTGAAATTTGTGCTGTCCTAAGCTGCCTTTCTTTGGATCGATTTTGGCATAGAACGCCATTGAGTCTCCAGTGTTGGAGATACCAGCATTAATGCTTATATTGCGCTGGTGTTCTTCTTGAGATACAAGGGAAAATACTTTGTTGATGGAAGGCATTGGGTCCATAAGTAGTAGTTGACCCCTACCTTGTGCAAATGTATCATTCAACCCCATCAAGAAACTCATGACATACTCCATCTGGTAATGTTCTGAGAGCTTCTTATTTTCACCGCAAGAACATTTTCCACAAGAGCATATTGGTCTATAGTTGCTTAATTCTTCCCAAATTGTTTTCAATTTAGTGAAATACACACCCACAGATAATTGCCCCTGAGTGAGGTTCATCAGCTCACGCCTTAATTGGAATATACGAGGCCCATTCCTTTGTTGAAACCTTTCCTTCAAATCGATCCATATATCATGGGCAGATTCAGAATAAATCACACTTGCAGAAATTTCTTTCGAAACTGAATTCAGTATCCACGAAATGACTATATTGTTGTTTCGAATCCAATTGCTGACCTGATCATCACTGTTGTCAGGTTTGGCTATTGACCCATCAATAAAGCCGATTTTATTCTTCACAAAGAGAGGAATCATCATGGCTCAACTCCATGAAGAATAGTTATCACCAGTAAGGAGTTGTGACACAAGCACAAGTCCCGGATTATCAGAATGATGGAGGTAATACGGGCTGGAGATATCATCAATTGCGGTGGAATTGCTAGTTGATGATGGGGAATTAATTTGATCAGTAGCTGACGCCATATCAAATCAACTACAAATTGATTAGGGAAGAAAGGAAGAGAGAGTACCATATTGAAGAAAGGAAGAGGAATAAAATCCATTGTATTCTTCACGTTTTCATGCATCTATACAATAGGGTATAAATAGAAGAAGAAAATGAACAAATTAAAAACAAACTCTAACAAACTGTAACAAAAAGAATGTGAATGAAAATGACGTGGGTAAACAAACTATTCTAGCTTCCAATAACATTCAGTCCTTAGCTCCAGCTGTATTCCTTGCTGCCTTGCTAGATTCTGTTACATTGTTTACAGGTGGATTGTCAAATGTATGTGAAGTCACTTTTCTGTTAATCTTGTAATTTTTTCACTTTTTGAATATAATTCGCCACTGTATCCTGCTTGTTCACTTTTCTTTTTAGATCTTTGTAAAGTTGCATTTGGAATGATTAAATTGGAAGTGATGCAGGCTTTGGAATTCAATATCAAATTGGTTTATATATATAGTTCAGATAACTTTTAGAGTTTTTGTGATGATATAAAAATGCAGTAGTAACTGGACTGAAAATTATCAACGTAGTTCAAAATTCACACCAATAATATAAATCATTCAAACAGTACTGGACTGCTGGTAACTGGAGCTCTCATTTATCTCGCACTTGCTAAACTGAAATTATCTTTTGTATTCCATGCTGCTACATCTGATCACTATTTCTATGTTGTTTGTTAGTTAATAAGGATTTTGACAGTGCGCTGTTACATGAACTAAATCCTTAGCATTCCATTGCAGCCAAAACTTGTAGCAGTATCAAATTCCATTGCTTTTGCAAATCCTAAAGCTCCACTTTAGCCTCGCCTTGCTCAAGGGAAGTCTTGGGATGAAGTAAGTTATCTAGATGTTCACCAATAATATCTTTTAATAGTTTTGTCATCCTGTAGCTCAAACAGAATTTTGGCATGAATTTTTGTCTGTTACCTTATGGAAGTTGCATTTCTGCTACCTTAAACGATTTTGATAAGACAATTAGAAATTTTTGCCCTCATTCAATGTCACTGCATATTGTTCTCTTTGGTACATTTTTTGCATGTTTCGTAAACAGTATTACATCATAATGGTCAATATTATCAAAATAATTTTTAACTTCTTTTTCTTAGTTAGTGGCTTCTAGTATTGGCTAATCTACTTTCCAAAAGTGCCATTAACTCTCTTACAGAACTAATCTATTGCATTTCTTTTTCTTGACCTGAATTATGCTTTGCAGATGACAGTAACATGGACAAGTGGCTATAATATACATGAAGCCATTCCTTTCGTAGAATGGGGTTGGAAGGATCAAGAACAAAAGCGCTCCCCGGCTGGAACATTAACATTTGAGCGTAACAGCATGTGCGGTATGATTTACATTTTATGACCACATTCTTGCTACTGTATGTTGATGTGCTCTGCATATTGTTCTCTTTGGTACATTTTTTGCATGTTTCGTAAACAGTATTACATCATAATGGTCAATATTATCAAAATAATTTTTAACTTCTTTTTCTTAGTTAGTGGCTTCTAGTATTGGCTAATCTACTTTCCAAAAGTGCCATTAACTCTCTTACAGAACTAATCTATTGCATTTCTTTTTCTTGACCTGAATTATGCTTTGCAGATGACAGTAACATGGACAAGTGGCTATAATATACATGAAGCCATTCCTTTCGTAGAATGGGGTTGGAAGGATCAAGAACAAAAGCGCTCCCCGGCTGGAACATTAACATTTGAGCGTAACAGCATGTGGGGTATGATTTACATTTTATGACCACATTCTTGCTACTGTATGTTGATGTGCTCTATGATTGTTGCGGACCTTGCGGTGATGGAAGAATAAGGGTTATATATGCAAGTTTTCTTTCTCAAAGATGACCTTGTAATTAGTTAAAGGTGGAAGGAGTAAGTAAGCTCATCAGGCTTACTTTAACTACTCGAAATTTCGGGTTTTCGAAAGTATAGATAGTTTGCTTGACTGATGAAAATCATGAATAATTTTCTTCGGCGGGTTTTGTTAGGTTTGGAAGTTATGCTTGTTGGATAGAAATGTAAGAAAACTAAATCAATAATGACCTTAAGTCGAAATCTTTTCAGGATGGGATAACAGTTTGGATTGCAGCAATTCTAATTTCATGCCGGAGCTTTATGTCCAATGTTTTATTAAGATTTAGTAATTTGAATATCTCCATTCTTTATTTTGTTACCTATGTTTTCTCTCCAATCTACTGGCATTTTATCCCTTGGTCTCATTCTAAAGTGCAAGAGTAAAGCAAATCTATCAGGTGGTCTCTTTTTTAAGATACCTATAGATTTTAATAAACATAGCTCAATGTGGCGAATGAAATGCATCTGATAAGAATCCGAAAATTGGCTTGTACTTTGTAGGTTCACCAGCACATACGGTTGGCTGGCGTGACCCTGGTTTCGTACAAACGAGTTTCTTAAAGGATTTGTGGCCAAATACTATGTAAGTTTCATAATCGTATATGTTTTATACGGATATAATTCCTTTGTAGGCATCGATAATATAGATGTTCTCTACTGTGGCTGCAATGATTATTTTCCAGATATACATACAAAATGGGTCACCTATTAACAGATGGATCCTGCATTTGGAGCAAGTAGTATTCGTTCAGATCATCCCCATATCCAGGACAAGACTCACTGCAACATGTGATAATCTTTGGCGACATGGGGAAGGTAATATTGTGCATTAATTTGAAAAAAAAAAAATTGTTGGGATCCTTGGAGTTCAATCAAACAATAAATATCAATCAATAAAAGATTTCAAGGCAAAATCAAGGAATATAAAATGGAAAAACACAACCCAATCTCGGCCGAAATGGACAGCAACTTCTCCTCTTCCTTATGGCTGATTTATAGGCTCAGGAACAGCTCCCATGTCATGCAAATCACCTTCCAAAGAGAGAGAGAGAAACCAGCAAAGAACCTCGCTAGAAACCGCCACCAACGCACCCTCGACTTTCTACCAAGCTTTGAGAAAGTTCACCTATACTTAGCCACTATTCCAGCCTAAGTTATCTCAAGGGACTCTCAAGAAGAAGCTCACAAGAAGGTGCAAAAATGGACAGAGTGGTCGACTGGAGAAGAGAGAAAAGACCTGTCCTGCCAAAACGTGGGGGAAGCCCTTTTTGTGGTAACCATCTAGTCAAAGCTTCTTCCCCAAGACAAGGCAACAAAAATATCTCACATAGATTAAATCCCGGCCGTCGATCCCATCCAATGGTCCATAATAAAACTAGACAAGCACAATCCATGTAAATTACACAAATAGCACTTAAGTCTAATGGAGTTAAGAGAACCATATTCTCACATTCTTTACCTTGGTTCTCATAACACTCTCTCTTGGTTTCGAATTTGCACATGGAAGAACTGTTCATCATCATCGCCCACTACCTGCAAGAAAAATTAACCAGTGTCAATATGTAATAAAGATAAGCACAATTTAAATTTACCTGCAGGTAGAATTTTTGTTCCCACATCAGAGGGATTCCTTTCAGTGTGAATTTTAACAAGATTAACTTCACCTTGAGACAGTTTCTCACATATAAAATGATATTTCACCTCAATATGTTTAGTTCTTTTATGATAAACAGGATTCTTACAAAGCAATAAAGCACTTTGACTATTAGTAAACATAACAGGTGTATCATGCATGAAGTTCAATTCCTTTAAAATTCCTTTTAACCAAGTACATTCTTTAACCGCCTCAATTATGGCAACATACTCTGTCTCAGTACTTGACAAAATAACTAAAGGCTGCAGCTGTGACTTCCATGTTATACAATTGTCACCAAGTGTAAAAAAATAAGCTGTGGTAGACTTTCTGTTATCCTTGTCACCAGCAAAATCAGAATCTATATACCCCTTTAGAGTAAGTTTTTCAGATCTTTTTTCAT